GGTCCTTAACACTGAGAAATATTGCTGAGATATGTTGATAATTTACTATCATTATATTCTTTCTCTTTTGGTAGCTTTTTTCCCCCTTTTCTTTCATTTTTTTATTACTTTATATCCATTGACCTTACTTGGCATTTTTATTTCGTCTGGGGTTTTGGCTGTATTATTTTTGTTTTGTCTAAAGTGTTCCTGAGTATTACCTAGAGTGCCATTTTTGTAGTTATAAATCTCTTGAGCTGGTCTTTTATGTGAAATGTTCTTATTGTTCCATTAATTTTGAAAGAAAGTTTTCTTAGTAAGTTAATCTACGGTGAAAGTTATTTGCTCTTACATCCTGAAATACATCACTCTAAATTTTGGATTTAAGATTTGTGTTGAAAAGTTTGCTGTAATTCCAATAGGTTTCCTTTAGAAGTGATTCTTTGTTTTACTCTGACCAAATTCTGGTTTTTGTTGGACATTAGGCTTTTGAATAAGGATATGTCATAGTGAGCTTCTTTTTCACTCATAGTTTCCTGGTATTCTGGCAGCCTCATTCCCTTGTGTAATGAACTCTTTTCTCATATTTGGGCAGTCTTCTGCTATGAGTTTTGTAAATAATAATAATCCAATCAGTGTTGTCTTAGAGCTTTTCTCTTGACTCCAAATAGGTATAAGTTTGTCTTCTTAGTGTCATCTAGTACCTGCTGCATGGTCTTTTCTTCTTAGGTATTTTTTTGTTATTATTGCTTCTTCATAGTCTACCATTTTGTCCTCAACATTGGACATTTCTGTAATTATGAATTCTATACAGTTATTTCAAGTATTTCTGACATTTTTGGAGGATTTTATATAAAATTGTTTTGGTCAGGTTTCCAAAGTTTTTATTTTTCCTCTGAATTAACTATGGGCATATTGAATGATAATGTCATAAATTTATTTCCTCTTTGAGTTCACCTGTTTCTTCATTTCTTATATAAACTTTTAGTAGAATTTTCACTACCTGGCATTTTTTCCCATTGTTTCCCTTTGCCATGTCTTAAAAGAGTTGGGAGTTTTTTGTGTTCTCCCATTGTCTTGCTTCCCCTTCATCACGTGTGCGCAGATATCCACTTTTTCATTATTTAAAATCATCTGGAACTCCAGATACTGGCATAGAGAGAAAACCAGTTGATAGCCACTACTGCGTTACCTTGGATATAATAGTAAATTAAGGGACATCAATAGGAACAAATGTCAACTAGATATTGCCAAGCTTACAGGGCACTCAGACATCCCTTAACCAGAAGTAAAACTATGATTTTAGTGCAGACAGACCTTCTGTATATTAGCCTACAGTACTTTAGAACACTAGTTTCTAGTGAATATAGGCAGTAGTGCCACAGATCAAGGAAATCACTAGACTCTCTACCTTCTCTTTCAGGCCAACTTCTTCTAACAATTTCTCCCTCCTAGCCTGGGGTCTCTCAAAAGAATAAAGCCCTATCAACTTCCTGATCTGATTCTAGGTTTCCCAAGAAATCCCAAGAGAAACCTTAGCTCTTCCCATCTCTAAGCCTATCTTCCAAGGTTTTTCTCAACTGAACTCTGTAGCATAATACTTCAGTCTTAAGCAAAACATTCCTCCTAGGTGCTGGTTTCATCTTCAATCAAGTGGATATGCTGGTTGTCACCTGTACTTCCCTGTGCTGTGATACCAGGAGCAGACCCTGGCATAGGCTCATCTAGTCAGTCCCAGGATTCCCCCTAGGTTGGGTACATGGTGTGGGTTCAAACATGCTGGGGACACAGGGCTATCATCTAGCATGTTTCAGTCTTTTTCCATGGGATGGGCATGCAGTGCAGGCCTTGGGGTACAGTCAGCATGATTTGTTAGTAAAATCTTTCTATCTCTTGTATAACTAGTACTTAAATTATTTATACTAAGGACACTACATAGAAAAGAACTGTAAAGATTCTGGATGATATTATCTAGCAGAGAGGGTTCTCACTTTCCTCATTTAAAAAGTGGGAAACATTTATCATTTCAATACAGTGAAGAATTAAGCTAGCTTTGCCTAGGGTATAGTTTTAGTGAGTCACCCACTCATTTTCTGGATTCTCTCTGTTTTACATATGGCACTCCCCAGATTCTGTTTGATGACCTGACAATTTCTGTCTCTTCACATTAAAATGCTGAAAAAAATTGGTTTTGCCCTTCAGAAATTTGAATTTGGCTAGTCATCTGACATACACACACACCTTGGAAAATATAATAAAGGAGGAAAAAAGTTTGTGTATGTGCATCCACTCTATGTAGAATAAGAATTCACCAACTTTTTCTGCACAAGGCCAGGACTAAAATTTTCAATTTTTTGCAGAGTACATTCTCCATTAAAACAGCCTCAACTCTTATAATTGTAGTATGAAATTAGTCCAACACAATATAGAAACAAACAAATGTGATTATATTTTATTAAAAATTTATGGACTAATGTCCATAAATCTGAATTTCATGCAATATTTACTGGTCATGAAATAGTATTCTTTTAATTTTTTAAATCACTTAAAACATATACTCTTAGCTTGTGGATAAACAGCCAATGATCCAGATCTAGCACAGACTATAGGCTGCCAACTGCTGCTTTCCTGTAAGACTGAAAGATTTTCTTTAATATTCCTGAATAGATCCAAGACATCAAATTTCCAAATTTGTGACTTTCAAAATAATATAATTTTCACCTTAAATGTATACAAGATGTTAGAAAAACAATAAAGCTCATTCTCAGTGTCACATTAATCAGATAATATGCTCAATCAATTCTGTATGGTGAAAAGTGTTGGTGATAGGTTTACTAGATAACGATATCACAGGTTATTAATAAAAATGTGTTAATCAACAAAATAATTAATCTATGCTAATAAAAATACAGGCATTTTTTAATATTCATGGATGAGAATACTCAGGTTAGAGGTGCTCTGTAACCTGCCACACGTAACAGAATTATGAAATACTATATCTGGTATACAGACTAAAGTTTAATTCTAAACTTTGTGATTACAATCACTCTGCTACCCATGTCACAAAACTTTGGGATCACATTTGAAATATAGAAATGGTTAATTTTAAGGATGGTACAATCTATTCTGAGTGATATTACAAACTCTATGTGTGTGTCCTGTCAAATATCCTATATTCAAAGCCTAACCACCAATGTGATGGCATTAGGAGGTAAGGCCTCTGGGAAGTAATTAGGATTAGATGAGGTGATGAAGATGAGTTCCTGTGCATGGAATTAGTGCCCTTGTAGGTGTCCTGAGTGCTTAATCCAGGGAACATTTCCCTCTGTTCCCTGGCATGTGAGAAAACAAGAAGTAAACTGTCCAGAGCCAGAAAAGGGCCTTCACAGGAACTTAACCATGTTGGTGCACTAGTGTTGGATTTTCAGACTCTAACACATGAGATATAAATTTTTGTTATACCTAACAACAGGGTCCACTGAATTTCTTTGTATAGCATTCTGAACTACGATATATATGATAAGGAGGAAAACCACTGGCATCTCTCTCTCCCCTTGCATATCTCTTTAGAATGCTTTTCATACACCTCATCATGCAAGACAGGGGATATGCATTCTGAAATCCAGGCATGTAAAGAAAATCCATTACTGAGACACGATTTTGGTGCCACTTTTAAGATACAGTATGTTTCATCTTTACTGTAATACTCTAGAATCATAGGCAACTGTGAGTTATTCAGAGACAGTAAAAAAAATATCTGTAATCAGTAAAAAGGAAGGCAACACAGGAAAATAGTAAAATTTAAATCAGGTTTGCTATTTGAAAGTTTTTATTAAGACTAGTGGTGAGGAAATTGAAATTAGAGACTATATTCTGGCTTTAAATTAGAAAAATTAGACACAATGGAAAAAATTTCCACTTTGGTGTCAGGAATATACAGTCTATAAACAGCCCTGCTACTCAGAAGCTACATAAGTTGGAGCAAGTTACTTAAGCTACCTGATTCTTAGTGTTTTCATAATAAATAGGAATAATTGCTAATATATCAGACTTTTTTGTTTTGCTTTGCTTTGTGGGTATAGAATGAATACCACAAGGAACTCAGAATACTTTGCAAATCAGTACATGCTTGAGAAATAATAGATATTATTACTATTTCCTACTATTCCACTACAAAGGAGTCCTATCTCCTTTGTAATAAAACAACTTAGTATGTTGACTCATTCACATTGTATTTAAACAAACCCAGGCAAATCAGTGACTGGTGAATTTATGTGATCATACTGCTGAAATCATGTTATATAGTAAGCTACACTGTTTTTTCTTTGAGACAGGGCCTCACTAATTTGCTAACTTGCTCAGGCTGGGCTCGAATTTGAGATCTTCCTGTCTGATCCTCTTACAGGCACCTGTCACAAAGCCTGGTTTCTGCTACTTTATTTTGATCATAGTAAAATCATACTAGCATTTTTTAGAAAGTCACATATTTGGTCCTAGGAACAATTATTTGCTAATAATAAATTCTAACAAAGTTATAATAACACCAATAGTTGGTGCTATTTATATGGTAGTATTAAATGCTAAAGTTCTCCTTTAATACAAATATAAATGATAAAAGCTAAGGCTGACAAGGAGGCCAGTAGTACAAGAAATGGAACCTAGTATTTATTTATGTATGTATAACTCACACTATAAATTGCTAGAATACAGAGGTACATTTTCCTCCTCATAACAAAATAGTTCACATTTATAAAGTGATATCAAATGTTTCACTCAATCAACTTGTCAGCATTAGCATTACTATAGTACTGTGATCCCCACATACAAAGGTTTGCAATTGTGAACTATGTAGTGATGAAAAAAATCCCATATCTAAGTACCTCATAATCCAAAACTATAAAATTCATATTTGAGAAAGCAAAATCATATATAAAGAAAACACACAAGCTCAAATTACAAATCATAATGATGAAAAGTTACTTTATATAAGAATAAAAATAAAACAAATATTTCAAACAAACCTGTGGTAGATTCTATTGTTTCAAAACTGAAGTCTTCTGGCTTTTGTTTCACGATGTTAATTGTTTTTGCAGGTATTTCTATTTCATCAGAGATTCCTAGCTGCATATCAAAAGATTTTTCCTTTATAAGCAAATCACTTTACCACAAGAAAACAATATCCTAAATCAACTCTAGTATACAAAGTTATTATGATTCCTTAATCTTCATTTTATCATTTATTTCTTTTGGAACTACCATTAGCCCATCCAAGCCAACAGCCACCCAAACAAAAGTTATTGGTTATCTGTTTAGCCCATTTTAACTCTACCTTAGTTTTTCCTTTATGCTCAGGGAGTGATTCTTTTTTGGTGCTTTTTGTCCACAGTGATTTAAATGCTTCATAAATTTGCTGGCTTATAGCATATGCTTTACTCCCAGTTACCTAATTCAAACAAAAAGTGATGCAAACATGTATTTTTAAAATTTAAAATAAAAGCATTTTAAAATTCACATTATGCAAGACACAGTGGTACATGCTCATCCCAGCAATCCAGAAGCTGAGGTAGGAGGATCCATAAGTTTGAGGCTGGCCTGGGCTGCATAATGAGTTCAAGACCAGCCTGAACTACTCAGCAAGACCCTGTCTCCCCTTTCCCTCAAAACAGCAAAATATAAACCTCTATCTAAAACATAAATATAAAGCACAACTGACCAAATCTTATAAGAAAATTTGTCTCTTAGAAAAAGCTAAAGTATAATTTGCATTCACATTGTGACATGTAAATTTAAAGTTATATCCATTATTACTAATATTGTCACTATTATTTAGTGTTGGTAATGGAACCCAGGGCCTTCACCATGCTAAGTTAAGTGGTCTACCACCGAGGATACATTTCTAGCCCGATTTCATTATTTTAAATTATTTTTTCAGCTCTATTCAGGTATAAGTGACAAACAAAATCACTATGTAAGGTACAAAATATAGCATTTGGATGTAAATGGACTTTTGTCTAATAGCTTCTAGACTCGAACTAATTAGTATCATTTATACATTTAGTTATTTTTTTGTTGGTGTATACACTTAAGAGAGCTGTCTCTTAGCAAGTTTTAAGTATTCAATATATAATTATAAACTGTAAGTGCCTTGTTGTATGTAGATCTCCAGAATTTTTTCATCTTATAATTGAAATTTTGTACTCTTCAGCTAACATCTCCTCATTTTCTCCATGTCCCAGCTCCTGGCAACCACAATTCCTCTTCTAAATTCAACTGCTCTGGATTTCATATATAATTCCCTTAAGTACTTGTCTTTCTGTGTCCGCCGTTTGCAGCAACGTGGATGATCTTGGAGGACATTATGCTAATGAAAACTATGACTAGTTACAGAAGTCTAGGAAGCACAATTTGAAATAATAAGAAGCTAAACGAGAAAATGCAATTTTAAGATGTTACAAAGTTAACACATCCTCACCAGTTTGAATCTTTATTGGCACATCCATGACTTTGATGTTATGCAGTTGTACTACCTGTGATACAAATGGCTCTAACCATTTTTATCAGTCTTTTTATTAATAAATAAAAACTCTACCAACAGACTAAATGTAATTAGCTGCTTGAACCTGAATAATTACTGTCTAAATATAAATGCTGTTCACATCAATTAAAATCTTATAAGTGCCCTGCCACTGTTGTAAATAATATGCATTTCAAGTGCTGGATCACAAATTCATTATATTATAAATTTCTCTACATTTTAATGTTTTCCTTAAGGAACTGCAATATTTGCTAAATCAATGCCTTTTCTTGCATTGTTGCAATTAAAAGACTCCCTGAGAATTGGTATGAGCTGTCAAATTGGACAGTGATGCATGTACAATGATGCATGTTCAAGCCAGCAGGAAAGATCAAATTCAAGTCAGAGGTAACCAGCAGAAAGAATCATGAGTTATAGCCCCATCATAAACTATTGATGATTATGCTTAAATTATTCCCAATTCACTAAAAAAAGGTAACAGCTAATTTCTATAAATAATTACATTTTGTTAGATAAAATAAACTATAAACACAATAAAGCACAGGCTAGATAGAATTCCAAATGTTGCTAATATTTTCATTGATAGTGCTTTCTCACTGAAAATTTTCTGATTCCTTCCTGCTTTGTTCCTTATGGCTAAAGTCAATTCAGGAGCTACTGATTTTTCATGAGTAATTTTCCAAAATTATATATTCTACCAACAGGAGTCTTTTTTTTTTTTTTTCAAATAAAAAGCTGTTTTTCTTTTTTAAATAGTAATATTTGTATTGTTTGACTAAATATGTATCAATATTTAAAAAACAAAACAATACCCTAGAATAAAAAGTCTTCTTTCTTCCCAATATGTAGGTCTTCTTCTTACATTAATATCTACATTTGTCTCCATTATGTGTGGGGATATGTGCCAAATACACAGTGGATACATGAAACAAGATAGTACTGAGCTCTATATACACTACATGCTTTCCTATGTATACATATTCACAAAAAATTTTAATTTGACAATAATCACAGTAAGATAATAATAAAAAAAGTAAAATGTAACAGCATATTATAAATGTCATGTGAATATAGTTTCTCTCTCTAAATATCATTGTACTGTGGATAATGGCAACTTCAGCATATATTTTATTCTTTATTTAAAGAAAGCTCTTTATAGACTGTGATTTTTCTGAATTCACAGCACCACTATGCTTGTACTTTTGAGCCATTAATAAGTAAAATGAGAGTTACCTGAAAACAAGCAACTACAACAGTTAATCAGATAATTAAGATGTTAACTAAGTGGCAAACAATTAAATAATATATGCCCTATAGATTTACTGAAGGAACTACATATCCTTTCCAAGACAGAAGGGTGGTGCAAGATTTTATCACACTATTCATAATAGTATGCAATTTAAAATGCATAATTTTTTTCTAGAATTTTCAACTGAATATTTTTTGGGTGGTAGTTAACCATGGATAACTAAAATCATAAAATTTGAAACCACTGATAAGAGGAGAATCCAGACAAACACAATAACACAGTATACACATTCCATTTTAAAACAAAAAGCACATTTACATCTACAAATCTATTAAAATTGGTAAGATAGAACTGTATGTGCTAGCATGAATGGAAGTCCACAATGAACAACTGGAAAAAAAAAAAACAGGTCATACAATAGACTATACAATAAAATCTCAATTATATTTTAAAATAAATTACACACTAAGCAACTAGTTTTAACATAAAAACAGGATCAAACTGTATATATTTTTGTGAAATTTGGTTTTCAAAATAGAAAAATGACAGAGTTGAGATCAACAGCAAAAGACAGTCTCTCCAGGACCTGGCATTGAGACACGTAGGAAACAATCTGAAGAAGAAAAAAAAAAAAAAAAAAAAAAAAAAACAGAAACAGACCTCTGGGAATTAGGAAGGAGCTGACAGAAAAAAGCTGCAAGTATAAAGAAGCTGTAGAGATGAGGCACAACACAGATAAAAGAAAACAGCAACCTAGAAAGCGAACTCTTGCCCCTGGGAGACTCACCTGTCTCTGCTGACACAAAGTAAGCTCAGAGAGGGTTGGAAACCTAGGGAGAAAACAACAGGTCCAGAAGAGCCAGCCCCAAAACTCAGAGCTACTGTAAACTGCTAAAACAGTGTGGGCTTTTGTTCTAAAAGTGATTGTTACTACTTGGAAAGTTAGGTCTTTCTGTCATTAGCAATACTGCAGTTCATTTCAAGAGAACTATGTACTAGGCCAATTGTAGTGTGCCCTTCATTCCCAGATTAATAGCAGTGGCTGAATCTTAGTACTAAGGCAAAGGCATTACCTAGCCATAACCAGCCAGCAACACTGAGAAGCAGCCCACTAAAGATATTTTCATACTAGCAACAAAGTCTTTCCCATATAATCAACCCAAAAATTCAGTGCACAAGTGCATGCATGCATGTAAGCATGCAAACATACAAACTGTGAAGTAACAAGGCAACAAAATGCCTCCCAGAATTCACAGCTCCTTCATAGCTGGTCCATGAAGTATCAATGGGATGGAAAAAGCCACATAGTTGAATTGTTTGAAATGATAAGGGAGAAGATTTTAAAAAATTGTTTGAAATGATAAGGGAGAAGATTTAAAAAAGAAAAAAAAACAGGTTCTCAGCAACCTTAAAGATGATATAACTACAAGGGCAATGGGCTTAATAAGTAATATGACCTGTGAGCTTACAGAAGACACTAACAAAAAGCTAGCTGACATAAACATACAATATAAAACATGAATGACCAATATATTAAAAAAAAACAGACTCCACAAAAATGTAACCACACAAATACAGGATATAAAACTTTTTACTGAAATATGAAGAGCACCAGTGAACAACGTAAAAACAAAGCATTAGAACTACAAGTTAATGCCAATAGTAGTGATCACTTATTTAGAGAAAACTTAAAAACATGAGAAATGTATCCAACAGCTGCTACAAGACACAAATGAGAGAGTTTTAATATTAAGTGAACTAATGAACAATCAAAAGATGGTACAAATGGCATAAAAAATGTGGGAAGAATTAAACACACAGATAAGCAAGGTATAAACAACCCAATAGACAGGGAAAGAACTTCTTCACAACACATCAAACCCCAAAATCTAACACAAAGACTGAATCTTGTAAGATAAAAGATAGTGGTGGTGAATGTATGGCATGTGTGCTATACTTCACTATTCAGCACTGAAAGCTCTAAAAGGTTTGTCCTCACTGGTATAAAGGAACACACACACACACACACACACACACACACACACAAAAAAAAAAAAAAACCACAAAACACTTAAAAAGCTAAATAAACTGAATTTACAGCAGACTTCTCAACACAAATCTTGAAGTCAAAGAGAGCTTGGTGTGAAGTGTTTCAAGCCTTAAAAGGAAACAACATTCAAAATAGATATATACTACAAATTTTTTAAAATTAATGAAGAAATAAGGTCTTCTCATGACAAAGAACACCACAAATATGCATGACCATCAACCAGCACTCCAAAATATTTTCAGTATCCTAAATAGAGACGATGAAGCCAACAATGCCAAAAACAGTCCACAAGAATAAATACATCACCCAGAGTGAGTAGTTAAAAAAGAAGAAAAAGAATCATCAACAAGAAAACAATGCAATGACAGAAACAAGTTACTTATTTGTTATTACTTATTTGTAATAACTCTTAATATGAATGGTCTCAATTCTACAGTCAAAAGACACAGATTGGCAGACAGATTCAAAAAACAAAACTCAGTAGTATGTTGTATATGACAAATAGTTTGATCCATAAAGAAATACACAGATAAGAAATCAAGACTCCAAGTCTGAAGGGTCTGAAAATAAGCATGAGTAGCTATTGCACTTTCAAAGTTGACTTGAAGC